TCACAAGGAGGAAGTGGATGTTTTGGAAAAGGTTGAGAGCCAAACTGAAACTGCCGTTATCGAAAAATCCAAAGTTGTGTCCAGGACAGAAAAGTCTAAGAAAGGTGCTGATAATCAGACTCCATCTGCAACACAACAGTCAGCTCCAGAACCAACCGATGAACACTTGGAGGATGTGGAGGGAAACATTAAAGAAGAAAAGCTGTTAGAGAACACTGAAACTAGTCAGACACAAGACATGATTGCCACAGCAACCGAAAGACCAATTTCTGACATAATTAGGGGTGCTAATATAGAGCCTGAAGGAGAAAAGACAATTGAGACTACAGATGTGAAGGAAAGTAAGACTATGCCATCTAAAAGAAAGCCAAAGAGTCCAAAAGTGTCTCCAGTACTTCCTTATAAAGAGGAGAGTCATACCAAACAAGACCAAGATAATCAGACGAGTAATGCTGCTGTTGTGGTAGAAGGTAATGTTAAACCAAGCCGGAGGAGGTCAAAGAAAGGTTCTGGAAGTCCAAAACCATCTTCCATGCAGGAGGTTGCTCCAGGAACATCTGAAACCATTTGTTCTGAAAGTGGAAAGTTGTCAACCACTAAAAGAAAACCAAAGTCCATGAAAGTTTCCCCAGACATGATGAGGACTGAGAGAGGGCCTGAAAGTCAGAGGGCATCTTCAGATTCAGAAAAGGTGGCACTAGATATTATTTTAATTGAAAAAGGAAAACTGGCTTTGACTGTTCCCACAGAACCTGATAATGTTGATAGGATGCAGGCAAAAGAGGTGGATGACCCTCATAAGCTATCATTGCTATCAACAGCTGAAGATAAGGCTGGTGTGATTGAGAAAACAAGTATGTCATATAATATTGCGGTTTGTGGTGATCCAGAAATGATCTCTTCCTCTGACAGACCTGAAGATTTTGAGAAAGTTTCTGAAAGAGTGAATTCTGTCATAAATATAGAGGATGTGAAAGAAAAAGCTGAGATTTTAGAGGACTTAGAGATTTCTATAGTTTCAAAGACACCTTCAGATGCCAAAGAAGCTGAAGAGGAACCTGAATGTGTCTGGTGTGCTGAAGTTGCCACAGATAAGTCTGAAACTGCAATCATACAAGGGAATACAGCTCAAGAAATTCTCCTCGTGACTGAAACCAAGCCTTCTGTCATGGATGTTGTTGAACCATCTAGCCCTCAGTCAGAAGAAATTGATGGAAATTTTGAAACTGCATCATATAATCTGATGCCTGAATATGAGATGTCTGTACAGGTTGAAGACAATATTCTTAAAGTTCCAGAGCAGAAAATAACAACAATCATTCTTGCAACAACTGAGGCGTCTGTAGAATCTGTGGAACCTACTTCAATTGCTGTATCTAGAGTTGACCTTACAGAGTCACAAAAACAAGACATACCAGAAAAAAGCCTAGAGCATCCTGCATCTGTGTCTATAGAACCTCAAGTAGTCTTACAAGAATCTGAAGTAGAAAAATCAAATGTATTAGCCGTAATAAGCAAAGCCAAAATCTGTGACATTCCAGAGACAGTTGACATCCTCGAAAGAGCTGCTAATGTGGATGTAACAGATTGTAAGGAAGACCTGCACCCCAATAAACCTGAGGGTCATATGGATAAGACTGGTGTTAAAGAAATTGAAATTGTCGGTGAACCAGATCATGTCAAAGATCTTGCTGAATTCATAGTACCTAAAGAAGAGATTCAAACTCTCATCACCAACATCATTCCTGAAGGTGAAATAGTTGATGTTCATGTAGAAGAAACAGAACAAGTGTACACAGTTATTGTCAACAAACCTGAGAGTATTGAACAACTAGTGGAAACTGTGACTTTGCCTTTGACAGTTTCTTTGCCTGTTTCAGCATTCTCAGAATCACATGAAACTAAAAATGTGTCTGAAAAGGTTTTAGAACAACCCATCACCCTGTCTAAAGATTCTCAAACTACAGAACTACCGCTGTACTCCAAGCCGACAGATGCCCCACATGGAGTAGATTACATCAATAATCTATGGAGTGACACAACTGAGGTTCAGAAAAGATATGTGGTACTTGACATGCCTGGTATTGCAACATCCAAGACATATGAGATAAAAGTTCAGCACTCTAAAGATGAGGAAACAGAAAGGATCACATCTAAGCAAAAAATAATTGAACCCAGTGAGTCCACTAGTCATGTTAGGATTGTGGATACCACAGAAGAAAGAGGAAAACCAGACATGGAATGTGACTCTGATCAAGCTATTACAGCTGTCACTGGAGCTGAGATATATCCAGCCGAGCAGGACACAGTAAAACTCAGCCCAACAGTCATTCATTTGGAGGTCCTAAAAAGCAAGCAGGAAGGAGAACAAACTGAATCATCTTCATCTGCTGCAAAAGATTTACTAGCAACACCTGATGAAAAGGGCATAAAGATCCACATGGGTCCTGGACTAGCCATTTTAAGACTTGATTTAGAAAACATATCTGCAATGGAGCCAAAATTTAACATTGTTGAAACAAGTCTACAACGTGAACCTGGAGAGCCTGAAGATAAATCTTCTCCTAATGTTAGGTCTGCTGGTGAAATGAGTCAAATAAAGGTGCAAGTGAGCAGAACTGAACAGCCTTACATAGATGTAATAAGTGACATGAACAAACCATCCCAGAGCTCAGAAGAAAAGTCTGTTACAATTGAGAAAATTCAAGTTGGTCCTGAAGTGCGCATACTACAGTTGGATATAGAAACAACAACAGAAGAACCAAGAGTAAAAATTCAAACATGTAAAAAGGATAAAGAGATACAAGAAGCAAGCATAGTTTCTGATATAGAGGCCCAGGGAATGACAGTTGGCACAGCTGAGTTGCAAGAAAGTGAACCTGAAAGGCCAAAGAATGAGGATTCTGCTGAACATATTGAATCATCACAACTGTGTGACATAGAGAAAGAATTCATAGAAATCAGCTTATTTGAGGAAGATGCCCTAAAACCAAGGCAGGGTGATGTTATGACTTTGAAATCCACAGAAGATACAACAGCAGAAGTAAAAGAAGTTAAAGTGGAAGAAGAACCTTTTGAGGTATCAGCACAATCAGCCCTTGATTTGGCTGAAAACAAGAATGAAAAAATGGAGATAATCAATCTGGAACATGAAGTAAATGATTTATATCTTGATGTACCGGTGACCATTGAGGAGCAGAAAAATGGATTTGTCCTGTTGACAAAAACACAGCAAAAAGAGGAAGAGAACGTAGTTGAGGTTGATTCTACTGAGCCATCTTCAACTGATGTAGCAGTTCTGCCATATGAAGCAGAGACATCAACAGTAATTAGCTCAACTGAACAGCACATAAAGACTTACCTAGATAAAATACCGGATGAAGTGGTTGAAGTTTCTGCTAAAGATATTCACGATTCACTTCAGAAATGCATTTCTGAACCAAAACAGTCATCTGTTGAAGAGCAAACAGGTATCACAAGTGAAAATGTGCTGCAAGATAAAGGTAAAACTACAGGAAAAACCAGCGTTGAGATGACTGTGGTGAATGTGACTACTGAAAACAACGATGTGGATGTTTTAGACAACAAATCCACAATGGCAGTAGATCAAAGCTTTCCAGAATACAAACAATTGGATAAAATGTATGTTGTCCTTGAGGAGATGAGGTTTTCTAACAAGATGAGTACCGACGAAATGGAGCAAATGCCTCAAAGTGATTCAATTTTAGCATCTTCAATTGGACCAACGTCATTTTCCCAAATTACCATAACTAAGGCTGAGACTGATCTGAGGCACAGTCAAAACACTAAAGATGATGTTCCTGATGCTCCCCAGAGCCCCGTGGAAAAGGTAGCCTCTATGGAGAATATTTTGAAGGGGGAGGAAGAATTAAAGAAGGAGGAAGACGGTTTCAGGATAGAAAATTTAACTGAAAATAAAGAGCTGACTACACCTAAGGCATCTGTTGAGCTAAAGCAGGTCATTACTGAAAAGGAAGGTGGCAAAGCTCAGCATGACTCCAGCCAGACCAGTTCTGAAACAGACCATGTTAAACTAAGCCAAGAGGAAAAACTGACCAATGTCACATCAGAGAACAAAAAGAGTGAAGATCTTGTCCAAAAAAGACCTGCTGCCACTATTAAAAACAAACCAGTGCTTGAATCTGGGATCCAGTTTGAGACAGTTACAGAAACCTTTGAGGTAATAACCATGGATATTCAGCCTGACAATTTTACAGAAGAAGAAAAGACAGATGAACAGACTGATTTTATGGCTGGACCCAGTTTTGCTGACAAACCCACAATTAATGGAACAGAAAAGGAGAAGGGGGGCAAAGATAAAGAAAGGGAAGAGGAACCCAAGGGACAGATTCAAGAACGAGAAACAGCAGCTCCCACTGGCGAAGACAACCTCGAAGTCTTTGATTCATCAAAGGTAAGATGTGATTTGAAGGCTCAAGTTTACTTTTTTACCTTTTGGTGCATTCACATTATATACAGCCTAATTTGGCAAGAGATTGATCAATGCAAATAGACAAGTGGATAAAGTGGATAGAAGATAACTTTTAGAATTGTTTACACATGAAGCTGTGAATACTAGGCTCCTCTGCTGGACCCCTGGTACATTTGGTTTCAAATATCAGAACTCACTTTAATGATTTGCATGAAAGCTGATATAATGAGATAGAGCATAAGGCTTCCAATATTCTCCAAGAACAGAACAATGTATCCAAAATAAAGGGAAGTTGCACCTCCTCTGTGTGCATTTAACGCAGGAAATTAAAACCAAAAGACTGAACAAGGAAGGCACTACAAATAGCACATAAGTAAAAAAAAAAATCAATGTGTGCATTCCTTGATTCAAGATCCTTGTTGACTGGTGGGAAGTATTTTTGCAGGTTAACAGTAGTTGCAGAATTGGCTTGAGCAATGCAATATAAAATAATCCCTCAGTGTTTAATGTGAATGCACTATGAAAGGAAAGTTGATTCTCTGAGTTGTGGTATTTAGGGTTTGTTGTATACACTGTTTGCTGCATGATGCACTTTATTTGAGATTCATTGTACTTTATTATTTGTGATAAAACATAACTGTATGTTAAGTGTTTTGCATGCACAAAACCTGAGACATGTATTGCCTGTGTTGTCAAAGGTTTTGATGCCGAGTGAAACTGAAATGAACAAAGACACAAGGGAAAACGTCATGGATTATGGACCACAAGCAGAGTCAGCTAGCACTTCTACACAACAATTGCAGGTTGCACATCAAATTATTGATAAAATGTATGTCACTGTGGATAAAATCCAAAAGTCGGATGAAGAATTTCTTTCAAAAACTGACACGCATGTTGTGGATGATGTCACTCATGATGCAGTAACAATAGGGCCAAGTAGAGATACAGAGGACCGGAGTAAATTAACTTCTGAAGCCAGAGATTTCAACAATGAAATTGTTATGGCAGAAAATGCATCAACTGAGATGATTAAGGAGGAAGTTAAAATGAATAAATCTAATGTTAGTGAGTTTCAAAAGGATAACGCAAAAACAGTGGGAGGATCTTTTAAGGAAATATCTGAAAATATGATGACTCAACAAATCATTGCTGGAAAACTACCAGATACCTATAAGGAACCTACAATTGACATAAGAGTAGAAGTGCAAGAAATCAGCCCTGAGGAACAGGAAGATGAGTCCCAGGTTAAATCTGTAAAAATATCCACCATTGATGTATTGGAAGATCACGCAGTAGAAAAGCCTGTTTCTGTAGAAGTTTGTATCTCTAAAGAAGACATCCAGGAACAACAGCAGGAAGACACCATAGATGCATGAGCAGAAGATGTTAATGTTATAACCAACCAAAACTCCAGATGAATCAGAAATATGTGTTGAAAAATCAGCTGAGCCAAGCATCGACACAGTAAACAGAAATATCCTTGGCCGCATCCTGTCAAAAGTAAAATATTTAACTTCTGCTGCTGTTGAGCGAGAAGAAACTAATGGTGAAGTGATATTAGTAGAGAGTGAAGAAGAAAAACAAGCTTTGGAGGAGCCCCACAAGGATGTTGATTTTGATACAGTTGTAGAAACCCAAGACAAAACTACAACTTGTGTTGTCTTAAAGCAAGAGCCAGTTGAGACCAAGGAAGCACAGGAAATTGTCACTGAAAAGCTAGAGGGTGCATCTGTGAGTGTCTCTATTGAACCTTCCCCTGTTGATGTTTCAATAGCTCAGCCAAGTGTGACAGCAACCTCTGTGGAAGCTGTCCT